AAAGGTTTGAAAATAAACTATTAATAATTTCAAACTTGGTTGAATCTATTGTTAAGGGAAAGAACTGGTAAAATCTCGGTCTTTATAGGCTTAAGTTCATAAGGTAATGTTTCATAAACACCATAAGAGTTCTCAGTAACTGCAATTGCGGTGGAGGTATCTACTAAGTGATCTACAGTGGGGGACTTGATTACCTGTTAAGTTTAATAAGGTTAGCGCGTTCTCGCAAGAAAGAATACTATAGAATTAAAAAAAAAAAAAAAAGGCACCCACCATTTTATTTTAACTTATAAGAATAATAAATTAAAATTTGAATGTTCAATAGTCGAAAAAATCTAATTGCTGTAATAAAAATATCAGTTGATCTATCTGCACTAATAAATAACCCCCTATGTCGCTACTTTGAATCAATTAGTTAATAATTAATAATTAACATTGAGATACTACAAAACAATATTATGATTATGAAGAATTCTTAATACAGTAGACATTTCATTGTTTTTTTTTAAAAAAAAAATTCAATGATATTTATGTACACTGAATAGATACGAATAATTAGAATATGATATTAGAAACCTATTAAAAATTAATACAAATAACTTTAAAAACTTACCTAAGAAAAGTTGATGCTATGAATTTGAAAAGCTAAATCAAATTTTAGTTTGTATATTCAACCTTTAATTACATCAATTCATCTCATCCACCATACAGTATTTAACACATTTTCTTTAACTTATACCTTATAAACACCTTCTAAAACAAACATGAATGGTTATTCATTATTGCTAAAGAAATTCTCTATATTTAATTGTTTTTTTTGTCAAGTAATTAAACTTAAAATATGCTTCTTAAGTGAGTTGATAACCTTTGAATCTTCATTCTCAATGCGTAAAGTTTCGGGTGGATTCAATAATAACAACCTTATATTCTCTAAGCTTTCTAGTGCTAAGTTAAGTGGAATTTGAGGTGTGGGTTCACTCTCGTCATCATCATCATTATCATTCACTCGAAGAGCAGCTAAAATTTCTTGGTTTAAAGGGATCTTAGTTGAAGATAAGTTATTGTCAATTTTTATATATTCTGAAGCAGGTAAAAGATCATTAGAATTAATTGGAAGTTGTTCAATAAGATAATGAACTTCTCTCTCATCATCTAGATATTCATCATGTGAAAATTCTTGCGGAGGAAAATGATCATTATTCAATTCAACTGGAGGAATTCCCATTTTACACCAACAATTTCTAATTGTTTCACTTGATACCTCATCTCATGCTGATACACAGTAATCTATTGCTTCTTTTATATTGACTGGAACCAGTTCTGACTAAGTCTCAAGTGCAAATTCATATGCGTCTAATGGTTTTGAATGAGAAAACGTCTATATTTGGCCTAAATAAATAAATATTTTGTTAGCGTATAATATGTTACAGACTTGTCAACTAATTTAGAACACCTTAAAACAAGAATGAACTACTCTTTTTTCTTTTTTATCACTTTTTTTTTATCTTTTTTTTTTTAGTGTTTTCCTTTTTTATCACTTTTTTTTTATCTTTTTTTTTTTAGTGTTTTTTTTTTTTTATCTTTTTATTATTTTTTTTTTCTATCTTTTTTTTTTTAGAATAAGAATATTCTTGATAATGGTGTACAAAATTAATTAGCAAACCTGTAATACTGTACTTTAAAAGAATTAATTATCCCAGCATCCATCAGTTGAAGATGGGCTATGGTATATTTAGACAAGGGCTCTATTTTTATATTAGTTAACACTATATTGTCTTCAAGATTATGAGTTGGCGTATTATCAATTAAAAGTAATATTTGGCGATTTTTAAGATGCATCATTGAATCCAAATCATTTATATAATATTGCCAAATAGATTTTTGCATTCATGCAGTCTTGTTCCAGAAATACTCAACTGGTAATTTTTTTTTATCAATATTTCTAAGCACATGTGGGTTTTTATACTTATGGATGAACAATGGTTTTAATTTTTCTATTTCTGTTACATTAGAAGTTAATAAAATTGTAACCCTTTCTTTTACTTTTTTTGTTCCTGAAACTGACCTGTTGCTAATGTACAGGAAGGCTCCATCCGGTAATACAAACTAGTTTCATCACAATTGAAGACATCCTCAAGCCAATAAGGTTAAATAACACTTGGTAGTTTACTTCTAAATTCAGGTAATTCTTCGAAAGGTGCACTATCAGCTTCATTTTGCCTTTTATACTCTCTAATGTTGTGTCTTTTTTTAAAGTTATGTAACCAACCATTTGAAGTATTAAATTTATCTTCATTCAGTAATGTTGCAAATTCTTTCGCCTTATTTTGGATAAGATAGCCTGTTAATGTTTGCTTATTGCCTATAACATGTTCTACCCAAAGTGCCACTGCTGATTCAATGTCAACAAAAACAGGTTTTTTGCTTTTCTTATTTGTCGCTTCTTTTGAACCTAAATTGATCGATAACCAATGATTTAACTTTGCTAAAATTTCACTACATGTTGATTTACCGATACCATATTGAGCAGCAAGATCTCGATTTTTAATACTAGGTTTATTCTTTTTTTGAAGACATAAATCATATCTTTGTTTGTTGGTTAAAGTAACTCTTCTTTTCTTTTAAACTTCACTATTACTATTATTGTTTTGTCGCTTATTTGTACCAGTATCCATTACTGCATTTGTTAAATGAAAGACATGAAAATTTCAACTTTTTTTTATATTATACTGATTAACGATGTTATACAAATGCTTCGTTATAATTTGTTATATAAAGGTATTCATTATAACAAGGTAATTTTGTTATGAACAAAAAATAAATTATTTCGTTATATGTTATAACAAGGTTTTATAATTAAATTCATTATATCGAGGTTAATTTATTAATAAAAAATTTTAGCTGGAAAAAATCTTCGTTATAATCCAAATTCGGTTTATTGAGGTTCGTTATATCGAGGTTATACTTTACTACTTTTAAAATTTTACAACTCTTTAATTCTCTTAATATATCTATACATTCTAGCCATAATATATCTTGGCCACAAACCACATCTGGTGATAGCTCTTTACTTAAAAATATTCATTTCCATCATTCCAATATTATACTTTTAAACAGCATTTTTGTTATAAAAATATTCTTTTCCTTAAACAATTATGCTCTGCAGATAATAGTACACTACTTAACTGGTCCTACCTATTACCCAGATTACTTCATATTCCCAAAGAAAAAAGGCCTGCTTGATTCCTTTACTTAGAAAATACTATCTTGTTACATTCCTTCTCTCATACTATTATTCCCTCCTGGACTTAACTCATTTGCCTATTAAACTAATTCAATTAACAAATCTCACAAGTTCTAGGTGCTTGCCTGCTATAATAATGATATTATTATTGGTCAAGTTCTGTCAATTCAACTCAATTTCTATTACTCATTGGCAACATGATATTAACTTTTCTCTTTTTACTTGTTATTCTTTTTCTCTTATCATATGTATGCTCTGCCAAGGCTATAGTTTAAACTTTTTATATTCCTCTAATCACTGTATACTTGAAGTTTCTTCAATTCTTTTTACTCAATTCTTTGGTAGAAAATCTAATAATCAACTTAACTTTATGCCAACTATATTGATCTTATTTATTCTACCACTTTTAAAAACCTACTCAAGATTCTATCTTTACTTTCTATTAATATTGTAGACTTTCTTACTTCATCTCTTTTTTATAACAATACTGCTTCCAATAATTTGCTTTAAATTGCTTTAGCTAATCAACTTTATCAAGAGTTTACTTTTTACACAGACAGCTCTGTCAAAAATCTTGGTACTGAGAAATGTACTAGAGTATTGAAAGGGCCCAAGTTCACAATAACTCTGTTATTTACAATTTCTCTGCTCAAATCTCTAATTGGCCCTTATTAGATAAAGCTAAGCTCCTTGCTATTCTCTCTACTATTTCTACTCTTTCACGTAATTCCTTTATTAATATTTATACAGACTCCCAATCTGTAATCTCGAAGTACAATAAGCTTCTTCAAACTTCTTACTCTACAATTAAATATTTTAAATTCAATTTTTGGCCAATCTGGTATATACTTATTAACTCAATTAAAGCATATAATATTGATTTAACTTTTCATAAAGTTCAAGCCTATAGTAATGATACTTTTAATAATCTAATAATTATACATCTTCCTCAACTCTATTGTTTAATTATTCTAATATATATAACTCTTCTTTCTTTCTTTAATAGAAAAATTTCTTGATTGATAGCCCTTCTAGATACTTTATTAAAAATATTTGCAATGCTAATACTATCTTTATATAGTTCTCCCAAAAACATATTGATGAATGGTCACACTTTTTCAACCTTATTGACTGGAATTCTACATGACTCTACTTTAACAATAATTATAAACATTCACACAATTTCACTAATCCTAAACTTAGTTACTTTAAATCTTTTAAATTAAAATGTTATTTAATAGTTTATCTATGCATTTTCACTTTTATTCTATTTCACCTAACCTATTTCTATCTTCTAACTGTTTTTAATACAATCTTCCTGACTCTCCTTCTCACTAGTACTCTTGCTCTCACTATAATTTCTTATCTCAAATTATTAATTCCTCTATTTTAGAAATTATTTTGAACACCAATTCTGATCTTGCTTCTCATAAACTTAATTACTTAATACATACAATTTTATCTCACTCTTTCTCTCTCTTTATTCCTCTACTCTCTATCCATACTCTCTTTATTCTACTCTTAAAGTCTTATTCCTTCTTTGCTTATCTAATGTATATTACTATTTGATATATCTTATTTAATAGCTTCACAGCCAATTATCAAAATTTTTATCAAAATTTCTAATTAAATCTACAAACAAATATAAAAAGCATACTGTATTAACTTTTCTACTTGTAAAAAAGCACACCAAATATTATCAAATTTTATCTCTATTCAAGTTAGCCAATAATCTCCTACTTGTCTCTATACTAAAACTCATAACACTTTCATATATAACTATCTATGCAACTTACCTGATCAGCTACATTCTGATTTTTTTTCTTGCCCCAGCTAGGCTTGCTAAACTTAAATTTAATATCTGGTCCACTTTGTGGATCTAGTTCAGTATTCCTACTAATTATATATTTACTATTCAAATCTAAGTAAGTTTCGACTACTCTAGTAGCTTTAGATTACAGATTAATTAGTCTGAGCTTTTATTCTTGCATATAGTTTATATTTATTCATTTATATATGAATTAAGTCTTCATTTAGTTTTTTTTCTTTAAGATTACTTATATAAATTACTCAATAAAGATATAAGCAAGGCCTCACTTTTTAATATTAAAAATTCTGAATTATTTTAATTTATAGTTATTTTATTGATACATTGTTTAATATTGATTAGTTTGAAAGAACTTCATTACTTTTTTTATATATATATAAACCCCAATCCTGTATGCAGTTGGAGTCTCAAATTGTCACATAATCCTCTTTGCTCATCCAACACAACCGTTACAATATATATCTGATATTGTATTATGCAATACAAGAACTTCATATTATAATTAGTTTTTATAGCTGCAATAGCAATACAAGGACCTAATGTTGTGATTAGGCTCTATATCTGCTGCAGGCAATGCAAGAACCCCATGTTTGGTGACTGAGCCTCACATAAAAAAAATTTTTTTTCTGATTTTATTCTAATTTTTATTACTTATTTTTTAAAATAATAATCTGAATAAAATCTAAATAGAATTTTGACTTTTTTTTTTATAGAATCTATAACTATAATAGCTATACAAGGATCTCATAGTGTGATTAGGCTTTGTAGCTGTAGTAATAATGCAAGAACCTTATATTGTGATTAGGCTCTATCACTACTATAGGCAGTAAAAACTCATGTTTGGTGATTAAGCTTTGCAACTACAAAAATAGTACAAGAAGATTAGACTCTGTGGCTGCTATAGAAATATAAGAATCTATATTGTGATTAGGCTCTATAGTAGCTACAAGCAATACAAGAATCTCATGTTTGGTGTTTAAGCAACATAGCTATTATAGTAGTACAAAGATCTCATGTTGTAATTAGACTTCATAGATATGATAGATCTCATGTTGTGATTAGGCTCTATGGCTATTGCAGGCTATACAGGAACCTTGATTAAGCTCTACAATTACAATAGTAGTACAAGGACCTCCTCATATTGTAATTAGACTCCATAGCTATGATAACAATACAAGGAACTCATATTGTAATTAGGCTTTATAGCTGTCACAGACTATACAAGAACCTCATGTTTGGCAATTAAGCTTTACAACTATAATAGTAGTACAAAAATCTCATATTGTAATTAGGCTCTATAGTTGCAATAGCAATACAAGCAACTTATATTGTAATTAGGCTCAATGGCTATCACAGGCTGTATAAGAAATTCCTGTTTGGTAATTAAGCTCTGCAATTACAATAGCAGTACAAGGATCTCATATTGTAATTAGGCTTTGTAGCTGTGATAACAATACAAGAAACTTATGTTGTGATTAGGCTCTATAGCTGTTGCAGGCTGTATAAGAACCTTATGTTTGGTGATTAAGCTCCACAACTATAATAGTAATACAAGAACCTCATATTGTAATTAGGCTCTGTAGCTCATAGGCAGATATTTATATGATTGGCTAATTTTCATAGATCTATCTATGATTTTTCATGATAATTAACCAATCAAAATACGTGCTTTTAAAGAAAATTTATTGTTTAATATTATTAGAAAAAGAGAAAAAGCTTTATATAAAAGCTTATAAGCTAATAAATACACATAAAAAATTTATAATATATATTCTAGAGAGTAGTTAGACATGTATAAAGTGAGTAAATATAATATTTATTACTAAAAACCCAAACTCATTTAAAAAGAATCTACAAGATATAAACCAAAACTTCGATTTACAGTTGACCAACCCAAACATACTACAAAAACTAACAAATTTAGATATTAAGCTTGGGTTTCTACTACTAAAAAGCTTGTATCTTCTCAAATTAAACAGTTAATAAAAAAAAATTTACTTAAATCTAACATAATAAAAAAGTTTTAGACAAAAACATTTCTAGCTACCTTCACTACAGTATAAGTTTACATGGTCCAATAGACGGTAGTATATTTTGTCTTCTAAGTAAAGTTTGTCAGTTTTCAGATTATTTTGAGATTATTTTTTTCAGTGAATACTGATGTTTGTTTAAAGTGAAAAATAGCTTTTGAGGTAATTTTTTATTAGTGAAATGTTACAATTTCAAAAAGTACTCTAAAGTGTATAAATAAATTACCCAGGTAATTAATTTACTTAGCCAATCAAACGAATATCTGACTATAACTCTGTAGCTGCGATAGCAATGCAAGAAACTCATGTTATGTTTAGACTCTATAGCTATCACAAGCTGTACAAGAACTTCATGTTTTGTAATTAAGCTTCGCAACTATGATAGCAATACAAAAACCTCATATTGTAATTAGACTTTATAGCTGCAATAGCAATACAAGAAACTTATGTAATTAGGCTTTATAACTGTTGCAGACAGCATAAGAACCTTATTTTTGATGATTAAATACTACAACTATGATAGACTTCATATTGTAGTTAGGCTCTATAGCTGGAATAGCATAAATCAATCAA